TTCTAACTTCAACCACACGCTCGCAGCCGTTTCCTCCCCGTCTACCAAGAAAGCTACATCCCTCTCAAGGCATAGGATAATCGACGCTCGTGCTTCCAGATCCAGCTCCTCCCAATCCTCATCAGACATATTTTTGTGCTTCTCTCTTCCAGCCAAAGCCTTGTGCAACTTTTGCGAAATCAGTGAATTTTTCATCTGCATCCTCCAATAGGAAAAATCATTTTTTTCATTGATTTTTTCAATCTCGTACTTTCCAACTTTACTTGTTTTACTTGTAGAAGTTATTTTTCGCTTGTATTATGTAAATCCGCTTCTCCCAGGAATTTTTAACAATATCTTTGTTTTCACCACACAATAGTCAACCACCACCTCAGATCAGAAATTTTACCACATCCAATCTGAATAAGGGCTCTGATACCAATTGTTAGGCGCAGAGTCACGTCCGTCGCCACGGAAGCGATATCACCTGAGAGAGAGCCCTGGCTATTGTTGTCACAAAAGCACAAGTCAACCTCTATATTCTTGTTTCTCAAAGGAAACGAGAATAGATAGTGAAATTCTTATTTCTCAAAGGAAACAAGAATCGAAAGTGGTATATTTTATCAAAGTGAAATATACACTCTTCCTCTCATCAGCTCTAAGACCGAATATTGAGGGAACCTACAAGCTATGACAACTCACAGATAAGACAAATACAGACACGAGATTTACGTGGTTCGGCTAACTAGCCTACGTCCACGGGAGGGGGTTTTCACTATGAGGAGAATACCAAACTTATTACAAGTTTTATCTCAACTCTCTCTTTTCTCTCAAAAGAACTCCAATACAAAACCCACAATTGATTTTTTCCCCACACCATAACTCCTCCACCTCTTCTCTATTTAGGGCCTGTTCGTTTGTTTTCAAAAAAGCAAGAAATGGAAATGGAAATAGTGGAAATCTCAAAATAACCCATTTCTTCCATTTCCATCCCTAAAACTCACCCACAACATCCAATAAAATATTATTTTCATCCAACAACTTATCCACATCATCTAATAAAATATTATTTTCATCTAACCACTCATCCACCACATCTAATAAAATATTATTTTCATCTAACAACTCATCCATCACATCTAATAAAATATTATTTTCATCCAAACATCACTCAACTCATCTCTTTTTATTATTTCAAATCACTCACATCATTGAATAAAATATTATAACAATTCACCTCATCTCATTAACATTTCATTTCTTCCATTTCATCCCAAAAATTTGTGAAAACACATTTCTTAATCTTTCTTCACATCAACCAATAATACAATGACAACTCATCTCATCTCATCTCATTTTTTATTTTTAAGAATGAACCGAACAAAAGAAAACAAGAAAACTACAGGAAATAGGTTTCTTATAATTCATTTCCTTATTTTTTTCGCCAACCGAACAACATCAAAACTAGTTTTCTTAAAAAATCACTCACATCATCCAATAATAATGTGACAACTCATCTCATCTCATCTCCATTTCTTTGATTTCCTCTTTTTTTAGCCAACCGAACACTCCAAAACAATTCTTTATTTTCCATTTCTTTGATTTCCCATTTTTTTAAGGCAAACGAACAGGCCCTTATAGGAAACCAAGAGTAGGGGGAGCAGAAGAATTGGTGGGAGAAGAGACGCAGGAAAAAGGAGCGCGCGCGGGAAGCAAAAGAAAATAAAGGCGCGTGGGCGCCTTTGCGTGCGCGCGCACGAAGGAGACGGGCGGCGGCCCACGTGGGTGGGCCCCCCTGTCCCCCGCTCACATGTGGCATGAAGACACTGGCCGGAGGCCAATGGAAAATGGAAGGTACTGAGGATCAAACTGATAAGCTTACCTTATGTTAGGTAGCCCCAAATGATGTTACTTATTTGATTCATGTCAATTCTATTCAGCAGACAAAACCCCCCCGGGAGCTATTTCAGGTCGACAACTTGGTGAAGCGGCCCATCGGCTTGTAAAGAACAGCCTTCAGATGCACAGAGAACGTAGCATTGATGAGTCAAGATATCCTCCTCATCCATATCCTAATGGTAGACATCATCAGCTGAACCAGAGACCTCACCATGGAGCTAGCCACATGCAATGGCAACCTACTGCAGGAGTCCAAGTAAATTACAGTCAGGCACGTTTCTTGTCAGCTTCTGCATCAAGACATTCACATTTTGAAAGAAATCAATACAACAGATCTCATAATAATAATCCCCACTACGGAAGAAGAGACCGACAACAAGACATTAGAAGCGTTAGAAGAGTTGGCCCAGCGCAGAGCTACCCTCAAGGAAGAAGAGACCGACAACAAGACATTAGAAGCGTTAGAAGAGTTGGCCCAGCGCAGAGCTACCCTCAAAGTAACGCAAGAGTTGGCCCTGCGCAGAGCTACCAACAAAGTAACGGGTATACTGGTCATCCTCCACCACCACCCATTGTACAAATACCGGTAGCAGGTCCTCATGTTCAGCCAGTTGTACAAATACCTGTAGCTGGGCCATATGTCCAGAACGAACCTCGGGTTTATGGGGGATATCAAGGTTATGGAGCCCAGCAATGGCAGCCTTGGCATGGTTCTGGGAGAGGAGCACCATTAAACGCTCAGCTTTCTCCTGTAGGTAGAAGTTATGGTAATAATAATAATGAACAAGGAAATAATCGGTTTTCATCTTTGAATAGCAGCGGATCCAGCCGAGGACCTCCGGCAAGACATGGACATGGTCGATTCTAATAACATTGTTAGAATTGTTCATCTTGTTGTGTTGTATCATCCCATCTTAGTTTCATCATCATCGATTTAGTACATTTATTTGTATCCCAGATCCCAGCTTCAGTGTAATTGCATAACAGAGATAGTCCTTCAGAGATTGTACTTTATTTTTCTTCATGTTAACCTACTGACCTATGATAGTAGGGGGAGAAAACAAATGTATTTGTTTATTACTTGTTTACTTGCCGAGTAATATCAAATGTTTCTTTCTCCTGGTCGTGTATTCATTTGTGCTTCTTCTAGATAAATCTCTACCATCAGAAAGAGTTAAAATATATCTTTGGCATAGGGCTTGCTTTCCAACTTGGTGACCCCATCGCTTCATAAGCACCAGCCAAGAGCCGGGAGAAGGTTTTCTTTAGCCCGTAGGGGTGGTAATGAACCTAATTTAATCGTATGCTATGGTGATCGGATTCGAATTCGGTTAGTTCTCTCGAATTTGAATTTGTCTAACAGGGAAAGAATATTATAAATATTGCTATTTGTAAGCAAATATTTGTTAAATGAATTTGAATTTGTCTAACAGGGAAAGAATATTATAAATATTGCTATTTGTAAGCAAATATTTGTTAAATGTTCACAAATATCTCATTACCACCCTTGATATTATAAATATTGCTATTTGTAAGCAAATATTTGTTAAATGTTCACAAATATCTCATTACCACCCTTAGTAGGTCCTAAGATTCTAGAGCTTTACGTCTTGACTTCAAGTATGTATTTCGCTGTTAGTATTATTATATTGTGCATTTATATACCTCATAAATAGCAATATGTATTATATAATGCACACATAAAAGATAATACAATATAGTAACATAAAAGTAGAAAAAAAACATAAACGAATATTAAATAATTAAACAAATTAAATGTGCCTCTAGTTAAATTCTATTCATTCATGAATTAAATTAGTACTAAAAAATATTCATTTGCTATTAAATGAACTACCGAACCGAATGTGACCGAATATATTTTATTAATTATTTGATTCGATTCCACCCGTATCTTTACAATTTTTGGATGCAACATCTGTTATACACTTGGGCATTGAAATCCAAATTCTAACAACAGAAAGCAACTTACCTGAAGTAACTTCTTCCAAGTAACAGCAAAAAAAAATTGACGTGATCACAAATTAGAGACGATTCTAATATATATTAAATTATATTGTATTCAACCAATGTTGCACTTTAATATGTATTAACCAATATTACATTTTCAATTTATAACTTAAAAAATAAAATTAGAACATAAAAGGGTCCGTCCAAGTGCATTTATACATTTAAATTATTATTTTATATTCAACATTTGTTGTAATGATACCAGAAGTAATTCCTTCCAAGCAACAGCCAAAAAAATTAACTTGATCACAAATTAAGTAGAGAAGATTCTGAAATATTAGATATGAATCTATTGATTTTGAATGACCTGATTTTTTGAAAATATCCCCTTTCTCAAAAGTTGAAGCTAGAAATATATAAGGGGGTGGAATTGATTAGGGATTTATTTCACTAGGATAATTTGGTAATTAATTGTTTGTGGTTAACAACTAAATTTATCGTAATTAACAAGTTATGAAGTATAACATCAAAATCAATCTGTAAGTTTATGATGAGAAGGTGAAACATGCATGTGGGATGTTGGGAGCGGGAGAGGGATGAGGAGGAGGAGGAGGAGGGGTATTGGACGAGGTGGAGGAAGGCCAAAACAAAGAGATGGAAGGAATGGCGAGAATGAGAAGAGAAAAGAACTGAGTTATGGGTTAAGAGAAGAGGGGAAAATACAAGGGTATTTTGGAGCTTTTATTTTATTTTTTTTTTTTTTTGTTTCTGTAAATATTGTTTGGAAATAGGGTGATGTTTATGCTTAAAGATAATAAGAAAAAGTATTTCGGATATATAAGACAAAAACACCTTTCAAAATATAATGGGGTACTAACTTCAAAATATGAAAGATTTAGGGGACCAATATTTAGAAAACACTAAATTTAAAAAAAGAAAGATAAATCAAAAGGGATTTACTTTATAAAACAATATTATTGATCAAGATCAAGATAGCTAATTATAGGGTTTCTCTAAAGCCAACGACTAATACCATCACAAATACCGCGTTCAAACTAAGATCCTACGCTAAAGAAGAAACAAATTAACAAACAAAAGAACGGTTTCCAATTGTTCTGTTGACCGCTTCCAACCCCAACCCCAAAAAAAAACATCTTCTTCCTCCTCTTCGCCTCACCATCATCCTGTTGCTGCCAAGGAACGCTCGAGCACGAACGCGGACAAAAAAAAACCAATGGATAGCGATAACAAGACAGATGTCTACATAAAACTAGACCCAACCATGAAGCAGGACATCTTCTGCTATCGGGCCATGATGACGAACTCCGCAGGAGTGTGGGCTTGGAAACAACCCTCTCGAGTTCTCCTTCCCCATTCTCCTCTATCAGCTCATCCTCGTCTTCATCACCACTCGTGCCGTCCACGCCATCCTCCAACGTCTCTCTCAGCCCAAAGTCATCTCTCAGATTGTTGTATGTATTTCTCTCTTTTATCATAATCTGTCATGCTTGTATCATTTATAATTAATTTGTTGGAATATCAAATTAAAATGTTAGAATAAATGAGGTTAATAGCATGAGTTTTAGAAGTGTAAGGGTCATAGATAACCCCCTAACCTTCGAAATATCGGAAAACTCCCCTTTAGTTTAGGGGTGCAGAGAAAACCCCTTTTTAACTTACAAATTTTATTAGAAAATTTTCTTAACAGGGTTAATCACAATTTTCACACCTAGATGGATAAAATTACGCAGGGATACATTTCTTATCAGTGAAAATTATGATTCACGCTTTTGATGTCATGCAAATCCACAGGCTGGAATGCTCTTGGGCCCAACATTCATCGGTCGCAGCATGGGCTTTGAAAAACTCCTCTTCTCAATGAACAGCTGGGAGCACGTAAACACCCTCTCCCTCCTCTCCTTCATGCTCTTCATCTTCATGATCGGCGTCAAGACTGACCTGGACATGATCCGAAAAACCGGAAAAAAAGCAATCGCCGTCGCCATAGTCGGCACCTTCCTCTCCTTCTTCCTCGTCCTCTCCCTTGCCTACGCCTTCCGATCCCACATCCCACCTTCCTTCCGCAACAGAGTCCTCATCTCTACCTTCGCATACCGCTGGAGCATGACAAGCTACACTGTTCTCACCTGCACGTTGACCGAGCTCAATTTACTGACCTCGAAGCTTGGGAGGCTGGCGATGTCAGCGTCGCTGATTGCTGATTTTGTGAACTTGACTGTCAGTGCGGGGTTCCAGTCGTACTTAATTGGGTCGAAGCAGAAGGATTTGTTGCTGTCGGGGATGTCTTTCTTGGCTTTTCTGGGATTTATAGGGTTTATTGTTTTTGTGGCGAGGCCGGTGACGGTTTGGATTGTGAACAGGACACCCGAGGGGAGTTTGCTTGATGAGCCTTCTTTGATTGCGGTCATTTTTTTGGCGCTTCTCTGTGGAGTTCTTAGTGAGGTAAATGAGCACGGCCGCTTTCTTTTACATTATGTCTGCAAAACATAGTAATTAAAAACAAATTTCATGTTATCAAGCTCATGGAGTTCACTTCTAAGCTGTAAATAATATTACAACTCTTAACTAAATATGTTTTGCAATGATAATAAAAAAAATTTCCAGAAAAAAAGATACAAATCCAACGCTTTATAAACTAACTTAACACTGTATTTGCATTCGGAAATTCATTCGGAATTTCCGTCTAGGTTGCTACATAGACGGATTTTCGTTTTTCGTCTAGGTTGCATTCCGTCTAGTTTGAGTAAACTAGACGGAATTGTCCTAGACGAAATTTTCTAGACGGATTTTCGTCTTGGTTGATCAACCTAGACGGAAGTCTAAGCAACCTAGGCGGTTTTTTCTGTCTAGGTTGGACGTTTTTCTACTAGTGTGTTTGTTTGGCAACTCGACTTAATAGTGATTTACGTCAATAGATCAAGTATAAGTTTTGACCGTAGTTTCTCAAGATTTGGGATGGGACTAAAATTAGTTTTCTTTTGCTAGTTTTTGGCCATAAAGTCCATCAGTCCAGAACTAAAGTGGTTTAGACTAAAACTTGTTTAAGAGTTGCCAACTTAACCCTAATTTTCTATAACAAATGTTGCATGGACTATCACTATTTACTATACGGAGTATTTATTGCATCTACAATTACGACACACAAATCAACTCCTAACTAAAGTATTGCTTCCTGTTTCTGTTGTTTACTCAAGGCCATTGGGTTTCATACGAACATGGGTGCATTCCTGTTCGGTCTAGTGATACCCGGTGGAGAGCCACTGGGGGTGACGCTGGTGGAGCGACTAGAGCGGCTGGTGGAGGGGGTGTTTCTACCTATGTACGTGGTGCAGTCTGGGCTCCGAGTTGACCTTGCGGGGCTCAAATACATAATGGAGTGGGGGTTCATTGAGTTCTTGGTGTTGGTTAGTATTTTGGGCAAGTTCTTTGGTGTCTTGTTTGTTTGCCTCTACTGCAAGATGTCTACTAGGGATGCTTTCTCCCTTGCACTTATCATGACTAATAAGGGTATTCTTGAGGTCGAAAATGCTGGTTTCTGGTTGGATGCACAGGTGATGATGTTCCTAAATCTCTCACCTTTGATTATTTTTTCTTTGTTTCTACCGACTTTTATAGAACAATCTATAATATGTGCATATATGGTACATTACTGTTCAATATATATGAATAAAAAAATAGGCTTTTTTTTCCCATTTCTTGAGATTGTGCAAGCTAGAGTCAAAAAACCTAAAAAGGAAAGGCATAAAATCCTGAGTTTCTTTATTCCAATCCACCTTCAAATTTAGGAGAAAATTTCTCCATACCCTTAAAAGGAAAGGCATGCTTCCTCCTCTAAGTCAAAAAACTCAAGATTAAACTCCCTAGATTAATTAAATTCCCATTGTTCCCTCTTGTTCCCAGAAAATAAGACCAAGGACTTCGTCGGAAGAGGAGGAAGGAGGGAGGAGGAGGAGAAGGGGGCCATCAGAGTTTTGGTTTAAGCTTGAGAAGGAAGAACAAGGAGAAAAGGTGGCCATGAGCTTCTTCTTCTTCTTCTTCTTCTTCTTCTTCTTCTTCTACTTCTTCTTCCTTATTTTTCTCATCTTCTTGAGAAGGAACAGGGGAGGTGGCCAAGAGGTATGGCTTAAGCCTCAGGCGCAAGGAGGAGGAGGGGGTGGCCATGGAAGTTTTGATTTGAAATCAGGTAGGAGGAGGAGGTGGCTATTACAGCTTTTGATTTGAGTTTGGAGGAGGAGGAAAGGAGGGGAGCATGTGGGTTTTGGCTTGATCGGGAAGAAGAGGAAAGAAGATGAGGCCATGACGGTTTTGATTTGAGCACCCAAAAAGGAATTTCTTGAGCGATGGGTTTTGTTGGGGCCGGGGAATGGAGGGATTTGGTTTTGAGGAGGAGGTAAGGGGATCAGGTTTGAGGAGGGACTCGTTGAGTTTTTGAGTAGATATATGACGATACCGATTAGAGTCGTGGCAGGATAAATACTAATACAACACCTGTAGGTGACAAAAACTGCAAACGGAATCAGCTTGGTATAACGAGGGCCCTCATCTAGGGTATTTTGGTCATTTAGCAAAGTCAATAAGCTCACATATTGTATAAAGGAAAGACATCTCAAGTCTAGGACCAAAATATGTTAAAAAAAGAGCTTAAAGGGAAAAAAAATCAACGTTGGCTGGCCCGGAACCAGGGGCGTCACGGCGTGCATGAATGAAGAAAATGTTGTGACTGATGCTTTGAGAAACCAAACCAACGAACGCCGAGAGAAAGACCAAACAAAACACAAACACCAAGGTTTTACGTGGTTCGGCAAATTGCCTACGTCCACGGGGCAAGAAGGGGGTGGGTTTTCACTAATAGAGAAGGAGAGTACAAATTGAGATTACAAATCGCTCAAACGAACCAACTAATCTCACCAACAAATCTCTCAATCTCTCAACCAATAACCCTAACAAATAGCTCAGAAAGATCTCTCTTTTCTGTGCTCCAAAATCCCCAGATTTGCTCCTACAAAACCCTCAAATCGTATTGGTATTTATACCAAAACAAAAACCCAAACAGACTGCAAATAGGAACTCTAACTTTCCAAAAAACCCGTCATAAGTCGACTTAACAGTCTGCATAAGTCGACTTGGCAGAGCGAAAAACAACAACTGGAGAAGAGATCATAAGTCGACTTATCAGACCTGATAAGTCGACTTGGCAGAGCGAAAACCAACAATCCAGAACATAACGTAAGTCGACTCATGCACCAACATAAGTCGACTTACCATAAGTCGACTTATGCCTGTGCATGAGTCGACTTATGACCAAAAATCTGCTTTTTCCAATTCTTCTCCACAATTCTCCACCTCGGCGAAGTTTTCCCAAAACTGAGCCGACACCAACCAAACAAATGCCTCACATGCTGAGACCCAAATGAGAGTGTGAACACTCACCCCAAATGTCGATGTCGCTCACCAAATCGGCTGCATCAAAATGACTGCCTACGTATCCTTTGCCCAAGGAATCAAGCCTTCACGTAGTTCACCCAAACGGCCTCCAAAGGCCCTCAATCAAATAGAAAAGTCTGCAACTCTTCTCCAATATCACCAAACGATCTGCAACTGATAGTATTCCCAATGACCCCAAATTGAGACAAATCAAACACCTCCACCTGAGGTAAACCAATGGCCATATCCAAACTATATCTACCAGCTGCAACTGAATCCAAAACCAATCCATCATCTGCATCCAAAACCAAATGATCTCCAACCTGTGTCACCTTAGCTGGAATCCCAAATGACGCAGTATGATCTGGAGTATGTGGAGTAATCTCCACCCAACGTGGAGTAGCATCACTCTCCACCTGCTGCGATATCCAAATGACCTGATCAACACTCTCCACCTGCCGAGAGTCAAAAGTGACATACCTGCTCAGAACAAAATCAGAAGCTCCCAAACGATAATCAACTGAGCCTCCGAACCCCAAACGCGCAATCGGATCCAATCTCACATCCACGATGTGACCAAATGCTGGGTATCCAAATATCCGACGCGACCCAAAATCTGAAGCAGCTCCACCAGATCTAATAACTCCTAAAGCAGCAGTCGGCGACCTATGCATAAGATGACCCAAATATGTCGAAGCCCGCACACCAATGCCAATGCTCGACATCAAACGCCGATCCTCCTCCAGAAAGGAACGACCCATCGAAACTGTCATCTCATCTCGTCGCCCCAAAGTCTCCACACCAATGAAGTGTCTCCTATTGCCGTGAGCTCGGCACCAACGCAAGAAAGGACCCCTACCAAAGCTGAAACAATGAGTTACCTTTCTGCCAATACACTTCTTCCAATTGTTGTTGACTTCTAGGACTTTACACCAACGGGAACTGGTCGCGACCCAATAATGCCTAGAACAATCACCAACTGTGGAAACCAAGATACGATTACCTCCCAATGATGCCTCCTTGGAAGGCCCCCAAATGCCTGACTGAACACCTCCAAAAAGACCCCTCGCTCGATGGATAGAAGTGCCAAACTCCACCACGGTCTCGCTCATCCTAATGTGCTCACAGGACTTCAATCTGCAGGTCATAGCACTCCTCAACAACCAATGCACGGTATTACCAATCATATACCCCAGCACCAAACAATGCCACAGTCTAGCCGAATCTGATGAAGTCGTCATTTCCCTATCAATCACCGTGCTTCCGTGCAAATAATACAAATTTCTTCTTCTGACGCCCTTCATCACAATCATGGACCCAAATGTAACCTTCAAGCGTGCATCCGCCAAGGTCACCCTATAGCCAGCTGCCTCCAAAGCTCCAAGTGAAATGATGTTCTTCTTCAACTGAGGAACGAACCTCACTCCAACCAACTCCCGAATCACCCCGTCACTCATCCTGATCCGAACAGTACCAATACCACCAATAGAGCATTTGTGATCATTCCCCATGAGCACGAAATCCCCTCTTTCCAACTCCTGAAAGCTGGAGAACCAATCCCTCCTAGGGCAAATGTGGTATGTAGCACCCGAATCCAATATCCACTCTGTAGAGTAGGCAACACAAACTGACGGCAGTGCAGATAACGAGTAGCCCGAAGAATCCGAATCTGAATCGTTGCCACTAGCCTTGACAACATTCGCCTCTGAAGCTTGAATAGCTTTTCCCTTATTCTTCCCGGCTCGATCAACTAACTTTGGGCAATCGGCTTTCCAATGTCCATCTTCTTTGCAAAAGGCACATTGATTCTTACGAACTCCAAGATGTGCCCCTCTAGACTGCGACCTCCCACTACGGTTTGGACCCTTTGCTCTTGCGACCAACGCCCCCGCTACCGGCTCAAACGAAGTCTCCTTATCCTTCTTTCGAAGCTGATAATTCACAAGTGCAGCGGTGACCTCACTATACGAAAGAGATGCCTTCCCATTAATAAGAGTAAGAACGAAGGTCTCATATTCCTCGTCAGGCAAGGAACTCAATAGCAACAACGCCTTGTCCTCATCTTCAATCTTAACATCCACATTCGCCAAATCCGCAAGAAGCTTCGTGTAGTGGTTCATGTGATCACCAATGGAGGTTCCTTTCTTCAACTGGAAGCGGTAAAGCCTCCTCTTCAAATGCAAGCGATTCTCCACACTCTTGGTCAAATACTTGCTCTCAAGGATCTCCCAAATCTTCTTTGCAGAAGTCTCATTGATCACATCATACTTTAGATCTTGAGTGAGACAAGACCTAATCACACCACACGCCGTTCGATTCATCTTTTTCCAAACCTTCTCATCAATGTTGTCCGGTTTCCCGTCCAACTCCAACGTATCTTCCAAATTTTGCGCGTTGAGCGCATCCATGACTTCGCATCGCCAAAGTCCAAAATTGTTTGTGCCATTGAACTTTTCCACATCAATCTTCATTGAGTGGATATTCAAGCTTTGGACGGTCTTCACGCCGGAAGTACTGCCCACAACTCCTTCTTTCTCGGCCATAATCCTCAAGGCACCACCAAACCAATGCGGAAACAAACGAGAAATAGATCCAAACTGAAAAAGACGAGATTTTTACAAAAAAAGATCCCACCTTTATCACCAAACGAAGCCCTAGATGAACTTCCAAAGCGATCTACTCCTCCAAATAGCCCAAGCGTTGCCCGTGCTCTGATACCACTTGTTGTGACTGATGCTTTGAGAAACCAAACCAACGAACGCCGAGAGAAAGACCAAACAAAACACAAACACCAAGGTTTTACGTGGTTCGGCAAATTGCCTACGTCCACGGGGCAAGAAGGGGGTGGGTTTTCACTAATAGAGAAGGAGAGTACAAATTGAGATTACAAATCGCTCAAACGAACCAACTAATCTCACCAACAAATCTCTCAATCTCTCAACCAATAACCCTAACAAATAGCTCAGAAAGATCTCTCTTTTTCTGTGCTCCAAAACCCCAAAACTCTCCTCACAAAACCCTCAAATCGTATTGGTATTTATACCAAAACAGAAACCCAAACAGACTGCAAATAGGAACTCTAACTTTCCAAAAAACCCGTCATAAGTCGACTTATCAGTCTGCATAA